AATTTCTTCGCCAAATGGCGCATCTCCATTTTTCGCTTCCATTGTCCTCTCAATTTTTGACAGAATCCTCAAAATTGTGCTAACATCCTCTTTCACTTCTTCAAGCCCAATCACTCTTCTCTTGATGTCATTTAAATCCTTCTGAAATGCCTCCATGACAAACTGAGCCTCGGATCTTGTCGAGTACTTAAGGATTTGATTTTTCCTTGTGGAGGAGCAATTTTAAGAAAACCTGATTTTTCTTAACATTGTTAAATTTATTCTGTTCTTTATACGTATGCATGATGCTTATGCAAAAAATGCAATGATGCATGAATGCAAATACGATTTTGAGGGGTGTATATGTTTTGCAAAAATATTTGTGTGACCAATTTTGAATTATTGAATGAAAGTTTTAAGGGAAATATAAAGATATGGGTTTTTAAAAAAACCTTTCACGCTAGTTAAGTAAAAGACAGAACATAACATATCATATCAATAACAAACATGCATTTATATGATAGAAAGAATGTCATCCTAATTAGGTACACCTATGGCTTCGGGAGGCGTAATGACTTGGTTGTAGGGTGGCATTTGGGATTATTTTGGACTGTTTAGGGAGGCTTCTATCCTTACTATATGCTGGCAGAGGAATTTCTAGGGATTTGGCTCCCAAGTTGTATCTTGCTGTAGCCCTTTCAAACTGGCTGGATACCTCGAGATCATCCTCGGATCCGAGTTCAACTTGGTTAGAAAGTTTTGCGCGACTACCACTACTGTGGATATCACGGTACTCCTTTCAATTTTCTAAAGGGATAGCCCGGGCATAGAGCTTTTATGCATGAATGCAGAATTTAATTGCGAAAATATAATTGCGCAAATAATAGCGTAAACACCCAACACGTAATAGAAATTTAGAAAAACTTATCGAACTTAGTTATGTAGCTCGACTCTCGAATGTCCCCAGCGGAGTCGCCAACTGTCGCAACCGTCCCGTCCGGGGGGGTCCGAATGTCGTATCGTCGGCATTTTTAGGAGTCGCCATCGATCTTACTTGGAGTGGATCGAACACTCTTCGGATCGGCTCTAACCTTAGGGTCGGAACCGAGATCTGGTCTGCGAAAATGAAGTTCTGGGTTCGGGAGTACGGTTACGTGTGGGGAAGTTAAGCAACACCCCCACAACGCCCTAAATCGGTACTACTTAAGTCGATAAGTTTTTATGCGAGTTGGGTGTATTTTGGTAATAATTTTGTAATTTTAGGGTCCCACTGGACCATTTAACGATCTTCTCGTATTAGTTGTAATTAATTATACGCCCACTGACGTAAAAATTTAAAGATAAAGTTAGTTGATTAGTTGGACTCGAACCTTATCGGTTGGCTACGTACCCGTTAGACGGGATCAAAGTCCACGTAGTTCGTTGGGACTTTGAAAATTTAATTGTAGCTTTTACCACGTTCCACTGAACGTAATTCTCGTATCATATTTTTATTGTTAAAATTTAGATTGATTATTATTAGGATTTTAATTAGAAGGATGTATTTTGGTGTAATAGAAAAAGAAATGAGACAAACTTAATCCGCATTTCACATTTCGTATTAAGGATTGTAAAACAAATAAAACTGAATGGGATGGCAACATTAATGCATGATGGATTGGCAGCCAACCTGGCTAAAACGCCTGACCAGGCTCGCGTTTGAACCGGAGGACGTGGGTTCGAAACGCACTGGTGGAGAAATTTTTAATTTTCTCGTTTTGGTGCAGAGAAGGGGGAAGGGCATTCTAGTACTTTCACGAAAACGCGGTGGCATGGACGCGTAAATAGCCGGGAACCCTAGGGGCATTTTGGTCATTTTAAAGCTAGAGGTATATATAGTCTCTTACAACACAAAAAATCAAACCCTATTCTAAATGATCTAGCGGCCGCCACTCTCATCCTCTCCCTCTCGTCCTCCGTCCAGAGAAAACCCTACACTCTCAAAAAATCAAAACAAACCCTACACTCTCTCCCCCCTCTTGGCCAGAGAAACCCGAACCCAACCTCCCTCAAGGCCGCCGCCGTCGCTCTCCTCTCGTCCCTCGTCTCTCTCTCTTGCTCAGAGAAAAGAAACCCAAACCCTAGCCTCGCTCAAGGCAGCCGCCGCCGCTCTCCCCTCTCGTCCCTCGATATGACGAAGATCGCTAAAAAAAATCGAGCGGGAGACCTTCGATCTAGGTAAGATCATTGCATGCAAGTTTGTTTTTTATTTCTGGGTTTTCGAGCGAGATTCTAACCTTTTTCTTGTTTTTCTTTCGGAGATCGATCCAAAACCGAGGAGGGGGCCCCGATTTGCATTCTAATAATCTCGATCTATCGCTTCTAGTTGGAACAGAGGTGACGAGGAGGAGGTTTTACCCTCTGGTAAGCCCCCTTTTACAATGCATGTCCATTTTTATTCGATTTAACGAATAATATTGGGATTTTGACTTGTTTGGCTTTCCTTTGTTTTATTTTTTTTGTTTCGGATCCCTGCCGAAGGAAGGGAAGGGAAGGCGGCGGTCGCCGGCGGCGCGGCCAGCGCCAGAGCCGACGGCGAGGGTTTTGTTTGGGGGTAAGTTATTTGTTTTATTTTTTTATTCTCGTTTTTTACCTATTATCATTTTTGGGGTTCTAACTCTCGATTTCCTAATTTTTTGCAGATCTTATTCAATTTGAAAGAAACTAGGTGATACCTCTTCTAAACCTAAAATGGGTGGTTTAATTATCGTTATGATTGTTTATAGAACTTTCTGGTGTTGTGAAAATAAATTTTGTTAGACCTCCTAGGTTTGTTTAGCCTTAATGTTTGGTTTTGGGTATGGTGGTGAACTTGCTTTATTAAAATTCGAAAATCTATAATGGTCCTAAAAGTAATACGACATCATAGCTACTGCTTATGACTATCAATTGGTTAAACAACTTGATTAAAAGGCTAATACTGATTAGTAACAAATGGGATTTTTAATGAGAGTGTTTTATTGTATTTAGCATACAAAATAATAATCAAATGAGAACTTCGTGATTACCAAATCTGGTAATTGAGTTAAAAGGGCACCCTTACAACCATCAAATGAGGTATTTTAAAATACTCTCTCAAAGATCTTGTTTGAATCCTATTTTTGTGTTTTGAGTAGATTGCTGGATTTTTGATATGTTGAAAGACTAAATGAAATAGCCTAGCTGATATTATTGCTAAGTTCAGCTAGCAACTTAGCAAGAATTATACTTGCTAGAAAAACTGAAAGCAATTTAAACTAATTCATTGTACGTTAGTGATAAAATGAAACTGTTTATTGTAGCATGTAACGGAAAAATGGCATAAAGAGGCATACATGTCACAAAGATCAGAATTTTGTAATACCCACTTCACATACAGACTTAAGCAACCTAACTATAGATTATGAATTTGGAAGCAATCATCATTTACAAACATGTTAAATGAATTTTCCTTCATGGATGTATAGATGACTAGATGCTCGTATGGTTGATGATGTGTAGAAAATACCAACCTGTGTTGTAAATTAGGTGGAGGTTGATGGCGATAGTTTGTTGCTATTTCTGACTCTCTGCCCCTTTTGGATCCTTATTGCTTCTGGTCTGCCTCTTTTGGTGCTTAGTGCTTTAATGTCTTTGTTTCCCTTTTGTGTGCTCTTTTTGTTCGTTCCTCTCTACCCCTGTTTGGGGGTAAAACAGCTCCTTATATATGGCTGCCTTTTACTGTTCATACCTGTGTGTTGGCTGCTCCTCCTTGCTCTTGAAGTGGTAGCCTTAGCCACTTATGTTGATGGCAATTTGGGATTGGTCCTTGGAGGAGGTGGCCGAAATCTTCTTTTTTAGATTTGGCAGAGACTCTGCTGTTCTGCTGCTCTGCTACTCTGCTGCTCCTTTAGATAAGAATGATGGGTTTGGTTGACGGGGTTGACCAGAGTTGGCCGATTTGACCAGAGTGGACCTGGGCCGACCATACTGGATTGGGCCGAAATATGGGCCTGGGTTGAGTTTTATAGTTTGAGAATTGGGCTGCTGGTGTGGGTTTGTTTCTGATAGTTTTTTTTTTAATGTATAATTACTAAGTGTATCTTAAAGGTTATAAATTGTACTTTGTAATTACACATTTATTTATTTATGTTATTGCCTTCAGAATTAGATGATCATTGTATCTGTATGTAGTGCTCAAACATTCAATTGATTCTTCCAACCCAATTTGCTCACTTATCCAATTTCAAACCAAATCCAAACATCTAATCAATGCTTCCCAAACCATGGATTTGGGTCGTTAAAGCAAAATTACCAATCTTTCTATACCTTTTGACCAACTTTAGACCAATGAGACCAACTGAATACAATGACATTAGCATAGGTCGTGACAACATACTATTGTTATTCTAAATAAAGCGAATTCGGTAGCCATTAGCTACTGCTAATCCTACCTAGTACAAATATTCGAACCAAATACTATTGTTATTCTAAATAAAGCAAATTCGGTAGCCAATAGCTACTACTAATCCTACCTAGTACAAACATTCGAACCAAATAAAACGGACTTAAAAAAAATCGTTGGTACTTATTGATTTGCCATTGCTAATCTCAACCAACCTCGTCCAAATTTTTACTTGAGTTTTCTTTTTAAGTGGATATTCTTTTGAGTTTTGAGCAGGATGGTTGCTCCGGACAAAATGTGGTGTCTACAACTAGATGTCTTGGTTCTCATGGACCGGGTCCACAAGGCTGATGGACGAAATTGCGAACTCGGCCCGCTACCACAACCACTTACGGTGTTGCAAAGCTGCATGCATGCATGCATGCAACGTAACTGTACTACGTACCCTAAAGCCACCCCTATAATATCAACAATCTATTTCGGCATGCCACCTCAGCATTCACCAAGATCCAAGAACCAAGATCAAGAAATGACCAATCAGAATTAGCAACCAAAAAGGAATACCAAAATCAAAACGGAAACCCCCCATAATATAAACGAGACGCTAATCTTCGTTTTTATTGGTTCACACATTCTCCCATCAACAATTTTCAGGGCTTTCGTTTCCATATCGATTATCGCACCACGATGAGCTACATCCCGGGCCTTCCGCCGGGCTTCCGGTTCGACCCAACCGACGACGCGCAGCTGATTCTCGACTACCTCTGTCCCAAAATCAGCCAAGACCCGAACCGGTTCCACCCAAACACCAACGTGGTGTTCGAAGCCGATCTCTACGACGACGAGGAGAGGTGGAAGCACTGGTTCGACCTGACGGGCGAGTCGAGGCTCTACTTCTTCACCCGGCTCAAGAGGAAGAAGAAGGAGAAGGGGAAGCGCGTGGAGCGGAGCTTCGGGCAGAGCGTGTGGAAGTCGCAGAAGGACGACAAGATCAGCCTCGTCCTCGTCCCCGGCGAGAAGGAGATCGAGATCGGCACCAAAAGGTCCTTCTCGTACAAAGTGAAGGACGACGACGGCGGCGCCGGCGGGAGTAGTAGTAATAGGGAAAGTGAGAGCAACGGGTGGGTGATGCACGAGTTCAAAATCAATGGAGAGTTGGCTAAGTGTCTTGGTGTTGATGGCGACGGTGGTGGTGAGGATTATGTTATTTGCTGCGTGAGGAAGAAGGAAGAGGGGAAGAGTAATGGCGGTGGCCAGTGGCCGGAGATCGAGCTGATTGATGCTTCGCCGTGGACTGCTGTCTAGGTCCAAGACGACGATTCGGATATTTCTGTTCGAGAACGGATAGAGTGAGTTAGGGCAAGATTTCTTGATTTTTTTTTTGGTAGAATTTTTGAATTTTTCTTTAATTATATGTAGAAGAAATATAAAATTTCGCAATTATTTCTAGATAAATGAAACGTTGAAAGCTTTTTACAATGTTGTTGTTTTATTTTATCTACAAAATATTAGTGTACGAAGGAAGAAAAAAATTAAAAAACCATATGATTAATTAGTGTATTTTTTTTATAAGGGTGATATAGGTTTGGTTTTTAATTAAGAGATTGGAACTTGGGTACTCTAAGATCAAGTCTAATGGTATTGCAAGATTAGTATATTCTTGTTTATTAATATTTTTATGTATTTGACATTACTTAATTAAAGTGTGGACAAATAATAAGTGATTGATTACTAATCATACATATATAATATTATATAACATTGTAGAAGAATGAAGAACACACAAATTTACGTGGTTCACTAACACCATGTGTGTTGGCTACATCTAAAAGAAAAGAAAAAAAAACACACGCGAGCAATTGTGATCACCTGACAAGTTATTGTATTTTTGTCATTGATGATGTTCAAAACTTCTTTTGACCCTTTCGAGCTTTTTCATCTTCTCCTATTGAGACTCTGGGAAAAAAAACAACAAAATTTCCACTTTACCACTCCATTGTTGTGGACGGTCTAATTAAGCATTGGCTTCTGCAATATAATTCTACTTAATCTCAAATTATTTTGTAACTTACTTCAACAACATAACCATCCTCATTGTCATTATTTGACGAGCGTGTTGAGTATTCTTCTATTATCTATAGTCCCTCGGGTTGCGCCACAAATTGTCTTGCCTAACCCTTTCTTTGTCAGGGTTAGAGGTACGTATATCATATATGTGTGTGTTTCATTGTATTTCCCGGGCGAGTTTGTGCTAAGGCAGACCTGGTAAATTAGGACTCTATCCAACCCAAAATCACAAGTAAAATTAGAATTAGATTGACATTTTTGTCACCCTAACCAGAATGATCCTAAAGCGTGTGACTGCATTTTTTTAGCGAGTTAGGGTGGGAGGGTCGGCTAGTCAACCCGCTCCCAACCATCCATCCAAAAACTTTCCTTCTTCCCCGCACAAGCTGTCAAGAGTAAGACTCCAAGTCAAAAACCAAACCAAAAGTGGGGAATGGGATGATTATTAATTTGCAATTGGAGGTTACAGTGGAATTTAAAATAAAAATATAATTAACTAAATTAAGACCAGGGGTGGGGAAAAGAAGGGAAAGGCTCATAGTGGAGCGGAGAAACGAGGAAAAAAAAGGAAAAAAGAAAAATGATGGAGGAACTTTGGAGATTTTTTCAATAATAGCACCTTTTAAAAAAAATTATAAAAATAGCATCCAGGCGAAAATATTTACACTACTAGCACCATTTTTTTATGGACCGCACCTCCAAGGTGCGTTTTATATGTAAACCGCACCCTCCAGGTGCGTTTTATGTATAAATTCACCTTGGAGGTGCGTTTTGCGCCACGTCAGACTGGGAACCGCACCTTCAAGGTGTGTTTCCCCGGGAGCGACCTTGGAAACCGCAGGATCCAGCTGCGATCCAGCGGCGGACCGCTTGCCACCTCAGCAATGCGCGCAATGAATCGCAGACTGCAGTGGCAGGGAGCGGTCAACCCTCGTGGAGCATAAACCGCGCCGGGAAGGTGCGGTTTTGACTGGGGCAAAATTACCAGACCGCCCTGGAGGGTGCGGTCTGATGGGTATAAATACCCCCTCCCCCCTCTCATTTTTTCACACCACAACCATGCTCCACTCTCTCTCTCTCTCTCTCTCTCTCTCTCTCTCTAGAATTAGCTCTCTAACCCCTCCCCTCTCTTCCCAAAAGCCTAGGAAATAGTGGTCTGTTGGTTGCGGCTAAGTTCGATCTGCCATCAGAAAACATTTCTTTGGTTTTTCCCTCAAAACCCGCCCGCCAAATTTCTGTCTGACGCCGAATCTCTGTCCGACTTTCGCGAGAAAATGGACGAGTGGTTCCAAGAAGAGGGAGTTTATTATGATGAATTTCAAGCGGTACGTAATCATTATTTTGGTCAAGCATCCAGCTCTTATAGAAGAAGAAAGGAGTCAATCACATACAAGTTGCCCTTTTGTTATAAGCTTTTTAATTAGTATATGTACTAACCTTGTTGTTATTCTCTCGTAGGTTGGGGATGACGTGAATATATACAACCAACGGTACTATTTGGATCAAGGGCCTATTGATGCGATCGACTTGTATGACCAACCCAACCATCGTTCAAGGGATGTTTGGAACGATCACCCGGTACATACAATTCTTCATCATTTATCTTTCTTTTATTTTGCTAATGTACTTAGTGGAATATAAAATAAATTTGAAATAATTTAATCGTATTGGTTGTTTTCAATAATTTAATCGAATACATAGCGGCACTTACTTCGAGTCTTTATAAAGAGATGCACGTCTAAGGAAATGGGGTTTTAAGCGATTATCATGATCCTCCCATTTCTTGGGAAAATCGGGTATTAAGAGATCTTCGGATCCCCCCTTTTTCTGTCAAAAAGGTTGCGTCTCTAAGAAGATGTATACCTCTTCTAAGAGTCTAACGAGTGTTGCATTGTATTCGATTAAATTATTTAAAACGATCAATACGATTAAATTACTTACCAAACAACCAATACGATTTATTTTTATGTGTACTTAAATGAATTTGTTAATTTCAAATGTTTGAATATGTATGTATCTCCTTAAATTATTATTCATTTTGAATGTTATTTGTGCAAATTAATTTAGTTTTTTTTTGTTTTATGGCTATATGTATATATCCTGGAAAAACCGCAAATTACTTAAATTTTGATTGTTTATAATATAATTATAATAGAATTATTTCTAAATTAAATCATTAATTTTAATTAATTTAGTTATAAGACTGAACTATTACTTATATATCATAAATCATTTTAATAATGGTTGAAATTAAATCATTAATTTTGATTTATTTAGTTATAATACTATACTATTACTTATATATCATAAATAATTTTAATAATGGTTGAAATTAAATCATTACTTTCAATTTATTTAGTTATAAGACTAAATTGTTACTAATATATCATAAATAACATTGAAATTTTTGCTAGGAGGCACAACAAATACTCCGCTATAGGGGTACGACCAATGTGTTCCCATGGAACCCAGTTATCTTGCCCTATCTCAAAAGGGCACGGTTGGAGTCGATTAGGCATTTTGTAGGCATAAAAGTCGATCGGCAACTCATTACCGCATTGGTTGAGAGATGGAGAAAGGAGACACATTGTTTCACACATCCGCGAAAGAGAGTGCACCATCACACTCAAGGACGTCGCCATCCTAACTCATCTGCCTATCGACGCCAAAGAGGTATGTGTGAGTGATCCCCCCCCCCCCCCCCGAGGATCGTGACGGTATGACCGGTTGGCAGTATTTCATCCATAGTGTTTTGGGGGTGAAAGTACCAACCAAGGGGAGCGTTGATACGACGGATCGCTTGCCATCATTGAGGAAAGGCCAAGTATCAATCAATTGGTTGACGAAGTATTTTAGGGACCATCACGATCCTGAAAAAGATGGGGTGCCCCTAACCGAGGAAAGTCCGGAGCTGTAGAAGGAAAGATATGCTCGTGTTTATCTCATGGGCATGATAGGAGGAGTGTTCTTCTCCAAAAAAATCGAGCAATTTAATTAGTTGTGGATGGCTTAGGATCCTCCATGGTAGTTGGGATGCGATGGGGGGAGTTGAGCTGGGCATACGCTTGCCTAGCTAATATCTACCACCACTTGTGCAACGCATCTCTCAAAGCTGTGAGGGAGGTTGGCGGCGCAATGTTCATCGTCCAGTTTTTGGCTTGGGAGCATCTGCCATCTGCCATGGATTGCACCTCTCCAGTGTCCCGACATGAATTTGGGTCCCGATCATCCCCTAAGACTCGAAGCTTATGGTTATAGTTAAATTTCTCATACCCCATCATGATTTTATAACACAATTTTCCATAATTTTTAGCTTATTTTAATGGAGTGTATTTTAATTATCGTCTTATTAATAAGGTGGGTTGGAGCCTCAACATGCGACAACCTTGCCCAACACAAGTTGGTAGAGTATCGGAGGAGGCTAGAGCGACTTTGGGAAGGAGAGGTAACTAGAAAACTTCTAAGTGCTATAACTTTTTTTCATGGAGTACATGTATTTTTCCAATCAGATTTAACTTAAGTTACTAATATTTTTTTGTAGATCAAATTCGATCCATACTCGGCGAACATCGTTCATTGGCATTTACAGAAATTCCCCTAGAATATCGGGCAATGGTGCACGAGGGTCCCTCTCCCCTGATACTTCTGGCATGAGCACTCACCAAGTTTTGTCCTGAAATTTACCAAAACTTCATGGCGATGGCTAGAGCGACTTTGGGAGAGAGACCCTCGTCTTATTATCGTCTTATTAATAAGGTGGGCTGGAGCCTCAACATGCGACAACCTTGCCCAACACAAGTTGGTAGAGTATCGGAGGAGGCTAGAGCGACTTTGGGAAGGAGAGGTAACTAGAAAACTTCTAAGTGCTATAACTTTTTTTCATGGAGTACATGTATTTTTCCAATCAGATTTAACTTAAGTTACTAATATTTTTTTGTAGATCAAATTCGATCCATACTCGGCGAACATCGTTCATTGGCATTTACAGCAATTCCCCGAGAATATCGGGCAATGGTGCACGAGGGTCCCTCTCCCCTGATACTTTTGGCATGAGCACTCACCAAGTTTTGTCCTGAAATTTACCAAATCTTCATGGCGATGGCCCCCGTGTCTACCATCCTCACGGTGTCCGGTCGTCACGCTAAACTCGCCAGTTGCCTGATTCATAACGGTTACACTGTGTAGACTACTCTTCCGATTGTCATGCTCTAGTAATTCTGTGACTTTATTGGCATGGACCTTTCCCTGTGCCTCGTTCGTCCTTACCCAGTGTAGTCGATTGACAAACCATCCATTCGTTTTCCAGAAAGTCATCTCCACAATGGCAGAGATTGGCAGCGCCCGAACACCCTTGTAGGCATAATTGATACTC